TTAAGTACATTTTTTGAGTACTTTCTCCACCACTGCCTAAAACTCACTAGACGAGACAAGTCACTCAGATTTTTTTTGAGATATAAGATTTAACATTACTTTCAAGAAGACTTCAAAAATCTACTTTATGCTTCAAAAAGGCCTGTAGTCTGCATTTTTATTGATTTTTGCCACAAACTCAAGCATTTTTCTGGTTTATTTTTTATCTCTACAGAGCTTAGGACAGTGCTTCAGCTATGCATGATCTGCAGTAAGACACTTACCATTTCCTAGTTCCAACTGATTGCAGCTGTGATTGTGATGTCGCTCTTTGTACCCTCAGACATTTCGTCAGTTGTTATGGTGATGCTCTCTGCCCATTTCAGCAACTGAACAATTTCCAGTGCTCACATATTGTTTGGGTTTTGTCCGTTGCTCTGGGGCCATTTATCACTCCGACTGGTAACCCAAATTACTGCCAAACAAATGGTGGTTGGGGCATCGGCTATTATAACTTCATCAGGCGAAGCCAAGCTGACAGCAACTTGGTAGGACTTGTGAGATAGTAGTTACCCCAACGAAAAACGTTGTGACATTTTAATATAAGAAGATATAAGACGAGCTCTTGCTACGCCTCTAGGGAATACTGAAAGTTTGAAGTTTCACACAAGCAAAGCAAACATGGGGAAGGAGGTGTTTTGGTTAAAATGGACATCATGAAACATGGTGGCGGCATCGTCTTGTTTTGGGATTGCTGTCCTTCCACAGAGTTGTGGAAACTGCTCAATGTTAATAGAAAGATAGATGGAGCCATATTCAGGGCGATTCTGGAGGAAAACTCATTAGCGGCAACCCTAAACATGGAGCCACAGTGACATGGAAATGATTTGGAGGTCTTTGGGTGATGGAGTCCTGGATGCATCCCTGGTCTGTGGCTAGACCTGGAAACTGCTGTTCACAGAAGCCGTCCACCATATCTGACTGAACTTCAGCTGTTTGGCAAAGAGGACCAATCAAAAGTTTTACTTTAAATGCGACACAAGATGCTTCGTACAACTAATACGAAATACTGTATTAGCATTTGCATTCAGAGATCCTGAATGCAAATGCATCTTACCCCAGTATTTTACTACTTTCCTTCCGGTTTGACTGGACACTGTACCGACATACCCAATAAAATACACACAACTTTGCGATTGCAATGTGAGAAAAAATTAAGTGGTGTGAAGATATTAGCAGCTGCATTTTTTCCAATTCCCCCTTTCACGAAGCTTTTTCCCTTGATCTGGTTTAATCTCTCCGGGGCTTGGAACTCAAGGACGCACGAGACAAAACTGGAGTTTGAGCAGAACTCAGGTGACAAGCAGCTCCAGGAATCAGTCCTGTGCTCATGCCCACAATCGACTTACCACAGTCTCATCAGAAAAAGGTGCTCCATGTCTTTACGTAGAAGGGAACAGCGCAATAAATCAGAACCAGTCAGTCTGTGGGGAAAACGGCAAAGAGAAAGAAAAAGAGAGAACCGTCAGGGAAGCACACACAAGAGAAACCTCACATCATGCATCACACATTTCTGGCAGTAAGTATTTAGCTCCATTTCTTTACAGTGCGCCCCCCCCCACTCCCACCTCACCCTCCTATTGTGGGGAAGGTACCTCTCCCCATAAGCTCTGACCTGTAAACGGGTCCCTTGCGGCGCCTGCAATGTGGTGGAAAATCTGCGCCTGTGTGCTGCTCCTCCTTTTTTTTCTCTTTCGGGTCCCAAAACAAGAAGCTCTCCTGACTGCCTTACTAACACACTTCAGCTCCCCACTGTTGTGTTCTACAGGCCCTGGAGCTACAAACGGTGGGATGGCAGAAGGATATGAAGAAGAGGAGAGGGAGGGAACAGCGCAGCGAAATTTGCCACGGAGATAAAGGGCTGTGTGTGAAGGACGGGAAAGAAACGGAAGCAATAAAAAAAAGAGGAAGAAAGAAGAGGGGATGACTAAACTGGCTTAATTGAGTGCATGGTGTCCCCAATTACATCCTAAAGGTAGCATGTGTGAAATGATTTGAACTTTAGAAAAGAACAGAATAGTGTTGGTCCATGTGCACTGTTGGGGGAGGAATGTTTTTTGTTTGTTTGTTTTGCTTTTTTGTTAAACTTAAATACTTCAGCTTAGTAAAAAGCTGTTTTCAAATGATAAACATATTCAAACCAAGCATGCGAAAAATACATATGCCCTTACATGTTGATCCATAAATGATTTGTAATTAGCTACGTTTTTCTGGTTGGGAGTCACTTAAAAAAAAAAAATAAAATCACTGTAATAGAAATTGTCTAGCAGCATGAAGTAGGCTAAATGATCCTGAAAAGCATCACGTCACGATCCAGTTTAAAGAAACAGACTTCCAAAGTCACTCCAAGAGCGAAGCTGCATTTTAAGAGTGCATGATTTAACGTTTTGAGAAATAAAACTGTTTAACGGGAACACGCCAACTTTGAAAAAGCAATCCAGTTTTTCTGATATAAAGCTTTGGTGCAAGGAAGTTTAGCCGTATTGAAATTGGTATATTTAGCAAAACTGCAATGGAAACACTTTTCTTTTTTCCGCCTCACACAAGTCACATGATCAACAACCACAAAGACGACAGGAAGTAGTTGGAGAATCATGGCTCGTCATGTTTTTTAATGACTTATTGTGTAAACAAACTAATTCACGTGTGATTTTAATTGCATTTCTTGTTCACTGCAAACAGAGCAATTGAGAATGTTTTTTTTATTTATTTTTACATTAGCGGAACAGTGAAAGTTCTGATCACATTTGTAATGGAAACAGCTAATAACTCACAGACGAAACTCATCATGACCAAAACATGAAGGGTTTTGGTCAGTTTCCCTTTTGGACAAAATAGGGACTCCAAAAGCAGAGACTTTTGGAGTCTACGCCCTGCATTCAATCTGACGTAGAACTAACACCACGTTAACAGTAAAGCTGGTGGTTTTATCATGATGCAGGACTGCTTTGCTTCTTTGAGACACAGGTGACATGCTTTAGTGGATGAAACAATGATTCCTGTTACCTATAAAATAAATCCTGAAGTAGAAGATCAAACCAATCAGTTTCTGACCTTAACCCCAAGCACACTTGACTAATCCAGCAAAACAAAACCAAAATGGCACCAGCAAGTATGACTTCTACAGACCAAGTCAAAGTGTTTACTTGAATGTTACTCATAATGTATGGCCGTGACAAGACCGTTTGTTCTGGAAACACTTCCATGTGCCTGAATTTAAACCATTCTGCAAAGAAAAGTGGATCTAATTTGCCTCACAGTGATGTAAAGAACTCAATGCAAATGACAGATTAAAACATTGTTAAACATGTTTTAACAAAATGCAAAAACATGTTTGCATTGCCATTGTTCACTCAAATCGAGCTAATTATTAGCTATTAAAGAAAAGTGTCGTATAAATCCCCTCCGCCCCCATGCTACGTAAGCTAAGAGCAACAGAGCTAACTGCAGTCGCATTAAACGGTGCCACAGGGTTCCACGTGCTTTTATTACCCCTCTATTAGCCTTAGCATTACGATAGTGATTACTGAAAGCCTTAGCTTTCTTTGCTTTTCTTTTTTTATTTCCCTCCGCCTCATTAAAACAAACGTTCACCCTCAGCATGTGTTAGTTCTGGGCTCCATAGCAACGGCGGCTAATAGACGCGCCGCACCAGCTCAGTTTGAACCGTTTTGGAGGAGACGCGCTCCTCCAATTCCCTCGCCCCACAACAAGAGTTTAATTTCATTTTCGCTGTGATCACCTTGTAATTACGTCTCTCAACGCACAACCGAGATGTGTGACGTGTCGTTGCACCCGGAGACCGCAGGACACCATCATCACAAAAAAAAAATAAATAAAAATACAACAACAAAAACGAGGCTTTAATATGCATTGTATGACATGAGGCACAGGAGGATCCGCCGCCGCCGCTCATCAAACAGAACATGGCAGATGCTCTCTCTCGGGCTCTTATCGATTTGAAGGGAAGTGTGCGTGGTACGCCGGCGCGCGCTCGCATCTGCGCGCGCATGTGTGTGATGTGTCGCTAGCTTGCAGCAGAGATAATTAGAACACAACTCTTTTGCTGTCCCTGCAGGCCACTGATCCAGCTGCTTTCATCTAATATAGGTCAGCTGTGACAAAGCCCTCAGCATGGACACTGATCTGCTCTGCTAGCTCCCACGTACACACACAAGATGAAATTAAAACTCGTATGCACACACGTTCACACACACGCATATGATTAGATATGCTCACTGCATGCTGATGGCACACACAGTCTGAGCTCTGCTCATACAGATGCACACAGCAGGTAACGCTTCCAGGGATGGCCCCAGATGTGTGGGACGCTTACCGGCTGGCCCCCTATGCATGGATACGGTGAGGAGAGCAAATGAGTTATTTAAAGTCTGCTCGCTTGCAGCAAAAGTCAAATGCGAGTTATAATCCATGAAATTTCATTCATCTGCTTTAAGGTCAAATGACGAGCTGAGCAGCGTATCATTTCACTCCTCATACTCAGTGATGTAAAATGGAAGTAGTTTAGAGTGATGCTGGTTACTGAATTAAAACAGGAAGCAAGTTTAGAAATGTTTCCTAAAAACTTTTTTTAAATTAGATGCAGTTAAAGAAAAAAAAAGACGAATTGCCAGCTAATATTAAAGGAAAAAAAATACTTTCTGTTGGAGAGTTTTATGTCAAAGATGGTCTCAGTTTTAGAGCTGGTTGGCTGTGTTAAACTTGCTTAACGGTTCCAGAACTTTCTAATTGATAAGTTTTAGGTTTGGAGCTTCTTGGGTCAAATTTCCACCTTCCTTTTTTAGTGTGGGTCTGAAGGTGAAACGTGACCAAAATATGTTTTCCAACAAGAAAATGATGGCAAACACATCAAAAATACCTATAAATGAACAAATCAGTGATTCTTGAGAATAGGGACAAAATAGGTTTTAATTTTCCCATATTTTTTTTA